ATTACCACACATATTTAAATACTGAACTAATAATATACTTTTTATTGTCGCACTCACGCACCCGCACACGTGGGTGGGGCCTCACCCCCAGTGCGCACTCAGCCCGAGGACTGCCTTCCCTCGTTCCGTTATTATAGACGTCAATTACGATCTAAACCTTCTGCTCCCTCCCCACATCACTTTTGCTGTCTTGTCTTTCTCCCTTCCTTCTCCTTCCTTACGAGTGTCCATAAACACCCAGTCAGTGGCGCTTATATGCTACTGCACCACGAAACGCCGCCTTTTTAACTCATTCCGATCGGTTTTCACGGTTTTTGGTGTTTTCTTTCTTTTTTCTGAGGCTATCGTCTGCTTCGAAGCTAAAGTTGTCGTACAGTAAAACGCGGGCAAAAATTACCACACACTGACGACGCTAGGGGGGAAAAAAACTCTTGGTTGGGCATAGGATAGCTCTCGTCGTCTAGGTTTAGGAGGGATCAGCTGTACCGCGATCGAGACCTATGTGTGCTCCACACCGCAGTGCGCACTATGTATATCCTCCTTCCTTACTTCGCTGTTGTCGGTATTGCCGTTTTCACACGCATGTACACACACACAGACAGACGCAAACGTTGTGTCCGCGATACGCGCTGGAAGCGCCACGCACCGCAGTGTGGTCAGGTGTGATATCAACCCCGCCTGCCTGCCTCGCCCCGACAACGCCACGCCACGCCCGCCCACGCCCACAGCGGCAGAAGGTACGAGCGATCTGCGTATCGATTCCAGGAAAGTGGCGGGGGTTTCTCGCCTGGCGGGGGCTGCGGTTGCAGGGCAGCGGTACAAAACCGGAGCCGTGCGAACCGACCGCCAATCCCAATACGAATCGTCCTCTTTAGTCAGCAGCAGGCCCTTGTTTCCGATTTGGAAAGTATGTTGGGGTAGTGTGATATATCCTGTTTGATTTACTGGCATCAGTGCGTCCACTTTTATCTATCTCTATCTATCTATCTCTATATCTATCTATCGATCTATCTATCTGTCGTGTCGCTCCCACGCCGAGCCACCGCCCCGCCCCAAGCGTGTGACAGAGACAGAGGACCGGTCGCTCGTTTCGGCAGCTAGACCAAGGCTGTCAATCAGCTCGCAAATGAGCGTCGGTTTAGGCCCCGGCCGGCAGCCGCGGCACCACGGCGGCTATCGTATTTCGCGGGCCATTCTCGCCGTTCTGTCGCCGTTCGGCCGCGGCCACATTTTTGTATAATTAATTGAGTCTGGGATGCGAAACCTGCGCAACCTGAAGATGGACCGGTGGACGGTCCGCGCCGCGGCCGCCCGGTGACACATGGGGCCGGCCAGGCTTCAGCCGGGCCGCGGCGCGCAGGTCGGCCGGGAGTCGCCGCGATATACACACCTTCTCTTTTCCGGACTATGTCGTGATCTCGAGCTTTTTAATTGACAATCACAGTCAACAAAAGTCGTGCGCTCAACTCTTTCAAAGTCAGTCGAAGCAGCTTTCAGAGGAACATTGATGAAGAGAGTTGACTTTGAATCAAAAACACAATTTTTCTGCGTGTGATGCATAGATGCATCAAATTCACAGCATTGAAAAGACTTACTGAATTGAATATTTAATAAGTCTCTGAACAATTGACGTGTCGCGCAAGGAGTACACACATGCAAGTTTGTTGCGTCCAAATTGCCTTGTTAAACAGATGAAATGACAGTGTTGCGGAAAGTACGGATGTGAGGGTTTATTGCGATGGGCAGGGCCGGCTGATCCGAGCGCGGCATTGGATTTTAGCACCTGGACGGCCTTGTCGTTGCAGTAATTACCTTCCGGTCGCCCGACGATCGACAGGGCTCTAGCCACTCCAGGAGTTTCGGGAATTATTATATTGCTCCTGGACCTGGAAGGCTTTTGAGATTATTGTAACCCGCAGCCTGGAGAAGGGGACTTAAAGGTTCACTGGAGTCCTGCCGGAGGTCCCGCTGCGTCCCGGTGTGTGGGTCAGGTCAAAGTCCGGGTCGAGCGCGCTAGGGCCTGTCCGGTAGGTGTGCGCGGCCGGTGGCCCCCCTAGAGCGTCGCGTGGCAGGTCGTGCCGATAGATCAGGAGCCTGCCGCAGTAGCGTTGCTCTAAAAGCTTTACTTTTCAACAACAAAAAACGAAAAATTTTCAGTTAGAAATATAATACTGTCAAAATCGTCACAATACATTTTAAATGTCCTCTTTAGCGTATGCATGGAAAATCTGATAATATTTTGTACGTCTATCTTTGAGTTACTGACCGTCAAAATAAATTTCTGTTCACAGGCATGGACGAGCAGGGCATGGGCATCTACGGTACGGCGCCGCCTCGGTCCGCATCGTCGTCGTCCTCTGCGTCGCCGCCCGTCGGCGGCGTCCACGGCGGGGCTGGCCCCGGCGGCGTGCTGGGCGCGTCGACCGGGGGCGTCTCGTCGGCGGCGGGAGCCGGCCTGCCCCCGCACCAGGCCATGCTCATCGTGCCGCAGCCCATAAACGTGTCTAAGATGCAGGGCTCGTCTCAGAGCGCCACGAGCTCCGTCGTGACCACGGCCAACGGCACGGGCGTCACCAGAAAGTACACGTGCAAGATGTGCCCTTCGGTAAGTACGGCCCAAAGCGCTAAATGGTGCTTGTGTGATGTGATGGATACGTTATGCGAAGCGTCGGGGAGGATCGAAGGAAGATAGAGGTGGACTGGACTAGATGTACTCTCATTTTTAATGTTACCTGGACGCCTAGAATCTGGGGCTTCTCTCTCTCGCTTCATCTCTCTCAAAAGCGCTCTCACACACACGCGCGCGTCGCATGAACCTGTTCCTCGTGAGGTTGGGCAAACCAGACACACAAATGCAGCTCGGGGCCCAAATCCGAAAACGTGCCCCCGCACTTGTCGAACAGCGCAGTTCAGAAAATGTTTCGTATTTTTAGAAGAAATCTCAGTTTCCGTTGTTGCTTTTCAGTTGGTTTTCTTTTTTTGCCTTTTTCCGTATGTGTGCGCGAATGGGCTGTATCCCTCTGTAGCGTAGTGTACCGCGAGGCGGCACATCACGCGGTGCGGGTAATTGGCGAAAGGAAGCATGCCTGTGCGCTGCCGACCTGCGCACACTCACACACACACTCACACGCACACGACACACACACATACACACAGAGGCGCAGTCGCACACACAGAAGCAACGCCGCGCGATGCTCCAAATGTAAAATATGACGATAAATCTAATGGTCCTGACGTGAGGTGAGGCGTTCCTTTGAGCCGCGCCGCGCGCGACTCCCCCGCCGCGCCCCTCCGCGCCCCTCCGCGCCCCACGCACCTGAGCCGCCACCGCGCCTGCACTCGCTGCTGCTGGCGGTGGTGGTGGTGGTGGTGGTGGTGGTGGTGGCAGAGGCCCGGCGGCGCGCGGACCCGCGCTGGTGTGGCTTGGCGGGGTGTTTGGTGCGTTCAAGGGCCTCGCGCTCGCTCTCTGCGGGGAGACCGGAAGGGCAGCTACCTTGCTACCCGTGTGCGCTTGTGTGCGTGTGTGAGTGTGTGTAAACTGACCGCCACGCTACGCCACGCTGCCGCCGCGCTCTTGCACGGCTCAGGTCCGCGTCAAAGCCCCCGCCGCTCACTCAGGCCGCGTCAGTGACTCCCCTAATATGTCAGCGATGGGGCGGGCGGGCCCGTCTGCTCGCGGGCGGGGTGGAGTGGGGCGACTTGCGTCCCGCGTCGATGTGGTGTGGTGCGTCAATATTTCGAGGCGTGCCGACAGTTGTGTGAAGGTTTCTTGCGCTGAAATGGCTGTGGAGACTGGAAGGTGGTGTAATTCCTCTCGATACATTAACATGGTTCAGTAGTTGCTCGAGAAGCTATTATTATAGCTACGCCCTGACCGCTAGGGATTCTATTTTT